GCCATTCAAAGACTGGGCAGATGTCCCTGCTATGTGTATACTGAATCACTTGATGACACCGTAATAGCGCCTGCCATTGCGTTTAATCTGATTCTCCGAGCCAAGAAAGCTGCTTTTCTTCCCCCAGACCTCCGACCAGACACAAATATAACAAATCCAAGCACAAAGAATCTTTAGAAGTCTGTTGCACACTAGGAGAGGGTGTTATTGCTAGATTCAAGCTAATCATCCTACCAGTGGAGTCGGGATAAAAGCTGGAGAGAGATTTGCAAAAGCACTTATAAACAAGAACACGAAATTGACACTGTGGTTAACCAGCTAAAGTCCCAATAAACTTAATTTTATGTAGACTGTTGTCACTGAAATAAATATATTTTAGTGTGTTCTCAAATGTGTACAATGAAATATTACATTAAATAATACAAATACACTATATGTATTTAATCTTACTTTATGTACAAGTGTTTTTGCTGTTGACCTTTGGTGATTAAGTCAAAAACAACTTTACTTAATTTTTTTTTATTTTGTGTTGAACATGTATACTGTGCTTCTGATAACCGAATGGCAGAGCAGTTGAAAGGTGCGAGTTTGCTTTGCTTTGGTGGGAATGTTCAACCCGAAAAACAATTGCTTTGCTCTTTGTGTGAATACACCATTCATTGAAGATTTGTTTAGCTTTTTCACATCATGTTTTTTGTGGAGGAGTCTAAATAATTACTGATAAATACTGATGTTATTTTATCAGTATAGTTTTTAATTAATATTTAGAATTTGTTGTATTTTTCTTATTTTATTTATTTATTTTATTCAACGTTTATTTTATTTCAAGTAACAAAATGTTTTTGGTTTTAGTCAACTATAATAACCCTGGTTTGCAGAGTTGTGTAATCTGATGCATTTCTGAGTGAAAGAATATTCAGTGAGAAAAAATTGTTGGTTGAGACTTTTGCCATAATTTTATCCATCAGGAATTGATTGATTGCTGTGTGTGTGTGCGTGTGTGCGTGCATGCCTATGCGTGTGTGGCTGTGTATATGCATTATTCTGACATTTTTGGGTGAAGCAAGTTTTTAAATGAGAACAAAATACAGAGTGGGTGGATCAGAGGAGACTGAAAAATAAGAGGGATTGATGGCATCAGTTGAAAAGGAAAGTTGTTTCAGTGTTGTTGTTATAGTTATATTTTTATGAAAGATTACAAAGACAAATATATTGTATTAAGAAAGTAAACGGGGTCAAGTTTGATTTCATTTAGTCTTTTTTCAGTGCCCTGCATTCCACGCGTGCCAGAATTCTGCATTCTCAACCAATGACTTCACTCATAAGATAGCTTTGAACATTGGAAGGAAGCTCACAAAATGGGGCCTTGCACACTGTAAGCTTCGCATAAACATCTGCTGCTGCTTCTCAGTCCGGATGGCTTTTCTGGCGCTGATGAGCGCCTCCGGCTCGGTTTACGAACGCTCTTCAGCAATCCTCTGTAACGTTAATATGGAGCAATCAAGTTAAAATGGTGCCATGAGGCACTCTGCGATAAACATCGGCAGCGATGCGAGCGTGGGTCTATTTTCCAGATTTCCCACTCATATGGTAGGTAGAACGTCTACATATGGATTGCATTGTTGTTGTGATCTGCTTGCTTCATGGAGCGTACGCCACAAATCCTGAAAGTCTCTGCACTGTAGCGGCCTCTGTGTGTGGGTATTTATTCCCAGGGTTTACATGTTTGACACATGTGATCTGTCCTAAAAAGGTCTGGCATGCAAAAGGATCCCCACAGGGTCTACAGAGAGAATCACACCTCATTTTGCAGCTCCACAACTTAATCTACAGTCTAGACAGGAATACCACCCATTAAAGCCTGAAAGCCAGGAAGAAAAGGGACTGTGGTTGATCAGGTTTGTTCTGCGAGGTTCTTCCAGGGTTTTCCATCTATAATAAGCTCATGCAATCAGACTGAGGAGAGTGGGAAATTAAATAAGAGACAAAGAGAAAGAATAAGTGCAGGCAGCACATTATGGAGCCACTTTGAGGAGACGGGGGGTGAAGATAAATATGGCTTTGAATGTCTGAAATGGCACTAGCTCATACACTTCTCATTGGGAGTTGCTCATTGCCTAGTGGTTAATGATCTGAATTCAGGGGCATAACTACCCATTTGTTGGAGGCTGGTGCCCTTTAGTGCTTTTCTATCACTGTATGATGTAGTTTAAAAGTGGTGTTCTTACCTTTTCAGCTTTTTAGAGTTACAATGTGCAGTTGTTGAGCAATAATCAATAATTGAGCAACAGTCGGTTTTGCTGTCTCAAGTATACATGATATAACAATTCCAAGGTCAATTGTAGTTCAATTAACATGTATTCATACATACAATTTTCACTCAGAAATCACTAGTAAATTTTCTAAATAACTACAAAAATAAATTGAATGTGAAATTGTGAAGGATAAAGACTGACATAATATTTTCTTGTTAAACTTATGCCAATTATCTTTGTTTTATTCAACTTTAGTAGTGTACTGTACTAGATAAGGATGAGCGTCACTTTGGTATCTAGGTCATTTAGTATGATTTTACAAAAACCAGACTGGCATAATTTTTTAGACAAATTATTATTGTTTTTTTTGGTCCTTTTGAAAGCCAATGGGGGTCCAATATTGTTTTGTGTGTTCAGTCATGCAGGTTTGGAATGACATGAGGGTGAGTAAATGATGAAAAACTGAATTTATCTGTGAATTTTGCTTCTCAAGTAGCTTTATCTTGTTATCTTGTATGTTTAAATATTTTTACTGGAAAAAGAAAATGTAATTAGGCAGGGTACCAATAAACAGAATTAGGCTTATTGTAGATGGGCAATGATTTATTCCCACCTAGTTTTCCTCCTCCATAACTCTGACATTCCATGTTGAGAGTATGATGATGATTTTGCCATGTTTGAAATCTGAACCATTACATTCCACTTTCAGTGTTTCCTCTGGTAATTACAGGGCAGGTGGGGATTCTGTTCTCTGATGAAAAGACGTGATTCTTAAATATTTTAGTACAGATATCCTCCAGGAATTTTTGATTTATTGACTTACATGTGTACTTGCTTTTGTGTGGTATCAGTAAAAGAGAACCTGTGTAGTTCAGTTTTGGATGAACTTTTATTTGGATGGTCTGTCTATCTTAGCCTGACTACATCAGACTTCGTACTTCCGCTCAATTTCAGTTCGCTTCTGTACTCAGTCTGAGATAGCGACCTATGTCTCAGTTTTCCTCCGGCCTGAAAACAGCTGGCCAATCAACGAACAGAGGGCGGGCTGAGAGCCGTGACGTAGACGCTAAGCCCTGAGTTTAAGATTGTATTTTAGGTTAGGGAAATCGAAAACGACCGCGGATATGGAGATACGGGATGCAATTCGCTCTGTTGTAGAGAATATTCCCGGCATTTGCAAACTGAAGCCCGAACAAGAAGAGTGTTTGTTAAACATTTTAAATGGAGGTGATGTTAAAGTTGGAGAGAGAGGTGATTGCGTCATGTGATTGGCTTACGGGTAACCAATGATTTTATACTTCAGACAAGCGCCCCCCCCCATCCCCCGCGAGAAAGAAATCAAATCTGTCTATCTGACTATCTGTCTGTATGTCTGTCTGTAAATCCAGTGGTTATTTAATAAGTTGGTGTGTCAACCTTATATCAATCAGGTTAGAGATTTCTATATTGGGAAACTACTTTCCCGTTTTGTGAGAATTATGCATCAGACGGTCAGTGAACAGACACTGGTGCTTCACATCTGAAAAGAAGGTTCTGTGGCTACTAAAGAAATCCCCTTTTCCTGGCATTTGAACAGTGTCCACCTTTTAAAGAACAAGCTTCTGTTGTTCACCACTTCTCTTTAACAGTGTTGGACATTTTCTGTCATCTATATCCAGAAACTGGGCTTTTTTCAAAGTCCCTCAGCTCTACTTTAGAGAACTCTTTGGTCACACTGAATCCCGCTAAAATAACATATCGATGACTTCTGGGAACCATAACAGTGTGAATGAAAGGCACACCTGCCACCTTCAATTCAAGAGTCAAGGCCAACCTTTTTTATTGATTTCCTGCTTGTCGCTGTGGTCATTGTGTAAAGAAAGCAACTCTTTCCAGTCCCAGGCAAGGTGAACGTCTGGCTGAAAAGGTAAAAAGGCATACATAAAACTCTCAGATTATTTTATCAGGTTCATTTTGTGAGGGGAAGAAAAGCGCTTGCGGCTATCTACGACAGTATGTGTCACATTTGAAAACCATTATGTGGCCAAACCAAAGCCTTAGGACACAAAAGAAACGGGTTTGTTTTTCCTGACTCGTAGGAACTTTGTTTGGAACATGGTCTTGATAACAGCCCATTTGCTGTACGAAACACATGGCTATCTTGTTGAAAAGGTCACTCAAGGTAATTTCGGGTGAGGAGGCAAACAATACTATATTTCATTTGGTTTAATGTGCAGTCTGAATCCTGAGGTTGTGTTTTTTCTTACACAATTGAAAGAGCCTTATTTTACAGTTGACATTTTTTCCAGTTTACGCTGTTGTCGTTCAGCACATTTCACAGTGGACCTTTTCCCAGTAACATCTGATGACGGTTATACGTCTTGTAATTTGCTGCTATTAGCAAATGCACCCAGATTGTTTGGTGAAGGGTGCGGCACGGGTGGCTACTCTGAAATCCACTGGCAGCAAACAGGCCTCATTTTGGCTGAGAGCTCCACCTCCTTAACGACAGTATGTCTACGGCAGAGAAAATCCCACACTTTGATGTCCTTTCAGGGTGGCTGAGTTTTATAACATGTTATAACTAGATCAGAGCTGAAGTCAGAGCTCTGAGCTCTCAGCACCCGCAGTAACATTATAACCAATGATTTGTTTGTAGACCAATTACAGTACAACCATGGCGTCTTATCCTAGTCTGTTTTTTTAAGTTTCTTTCCCTTTTAAATGGTAAAATAAATCTTTCTCTTGATTTCTCTTGTTTTTCAGTCCACACATCATGTTCCTGTCTCAAAGCGTGCTAACGGGTGAGAGGAACCTCTGTGGGGCAAGATTGTGCCATGAAATCGCCCATTCCTGGTTCGGGCTGGCCATTGGAGCACGGGATTGGACGGAAGAATGGATCAGCGAGGGTTTTGCCACTTATTTAGAGGATGCGCTCTGGAACCATGTTCAGAAGGTATCACGATAAAGTTGAATCTTTGAACGCTTATGTGCTGCCAATGTGCTGCCCCCCCCCCTTTCACCTCTCAAACAGTAGAGCTCCAAAAAAGAGAAAGAATCTTAAATGCAGCATGCTTACCAAAATTCATTACACACCTATTAGAGCACTTGCTGACTGGTCAGAGTGTAAAATGAGTTTAAAATTAAATGGAATTTTCTGCATTAACTGGAAGACTTCACTTCCTGTAATGACTGAGATAGATAACAATGCGACACAAACTCAAGCTTGTGAAGTGTGATTGTGCGCCGCATCAACACAGTACTTCACTTCATTCAGAATGTATTTATAATCTGTGTTTACCAGTTCTGAATTGAAAACTATTGTTGTGCAAATGGAATGTTTCCAATATGTCTTATGTTTCAACAAGCTGCATTTAAAGCTGAAGTGTGTAATTTTATTGATGTTTTAAATGACTTTCTCTTATCCAGGTTCAAAAGGCAGAGACTGCCATCATCAGTAGGTCATTCATAGATTGATTTCCCTGAAGAGTATAAACTCTGGGACTTTTTGGTGCTATCAAAACATTGTTCATTTTTTTTGGAGCATCCTGAACAGCCCGACAACAGACTTGCTGGCTTAACCAATGCCTAGAGTTAGAGGCGGGCCTATCTGTTTGTCGGACCAATTGCTGATGGGAGAGTATTTGAGGACATCTATTCCCTGAAAACAATAGTTAGTTTTATTTGATGACGCTAGCGGTGCAGAAATGACACACTTCACCTTTAAAATGAAACGTTTGTGTTTAGACTCACTTAATTTGCAGTTGTTTGCTTTGTTTTGTTCACTTTTTTTGTCTTTCCCAGTTGGGTTATAGAGAGGCTGAGGAGCAGAGCCAGTTAAAAGCTCTGCTACGCTGGAGGAGACTGAGCGATGAGTTACAGAACTCTGAAGTAGAGCTGCAGGTCCTCAGGTATGATTGGCCATGCATATACTCTTAATACTCCTCATGCAAGGGCTTATCCATCATCTGCACATACAAAAGGCCATGATAGAACAAGTTAATTTTCAAGATACGATTTGGAACTAACATGTTTCTCAGTTACAAAGTAGGCTTAAAGTAGTTTTTGTAATTAAAATAGTATTTGTAATCAAATAGGGCTAGGCAACAAACTCAAGCTCCTCTGACATTTCTCTTTAAAAATCCTCATTTTAGACTTCCGGGTTTTTCAATACGTCATGCGTCGGGTTAGGGTTCTCTCTTCGGCTGGAAATCAACTCATGTACGGAATGGATATTTTTTTTCTTACAAAAATGCTTCGCTTCAGAAGGCGTTTATTAACCCCTTGGATTACTTTAATGATGGATGGGTGTGTTTTTTTGGCCTTCCAAATCTTCAAAATCGATTTTTTTTTAAAATAAAATAACTGTATTTTGGCTGTGTTTGGCTGAAAAAGGAAAGGCATATACACCTAGGATGACTTGAGGGTAAGTAAATTATGGGATAATTTTCACTTTTGGGTGAATTAACCCTTTAAGTCTTATGTAATATCTGGAATCTTATTCCCACATTTTGCATTTACTGACATAATTTGTCATAATTTGAGAGATATTTTGACTGATGAAACATGAAGACAATGAACATATGATTGAGACAATATATGGTTTATCTGTGTTCTAGATATCTCTAGTATTTTCAAAAAAATAAAGTATGCAATGCAATAAAGTATGTTAATAATGAGATGCTAATCGACAGAATTTATCACTGTATACAATATTATAAAATAATATAATTTCTGTCTCATTCTGTGATATGAAGCCACGTCAGATCACAAAAGGAAGTTATTTCAAACACTCGACTGACGTTATGAAGTGAATTTGGAGTAAAACATCATTAATTTTTATTTTATTTTTAAATAAATTGTTGAATGACATGTTTGTAAATGCTTCTCATTCCAAGTTTGGAAAGATTTACTCAATCAAATTTCCAGGTAAGCTCAAAATGTTAACGAGAGCTTAAAAAAGATATGACATTTCAACTGTAGAGAATAATTTCGAGCATGCCATTGCATGAGTATTATTTGATATGAGATGTAATGTAATGTTCTGAAGAGCACAGTATCACAAGGTTTTATGTAGGTTTGTGGAAGGAGTAGATTACCTTGGCTTAACTTTCAAGAATGAGAAACTGCAAGTGTGTGTGTGAGAGAGAGCGATAGAGCTTGTCAGGAATTCAGCTGTCACAATACCAGCAGGTTTTGAGGATCCACCTGACAGCATGTGTTTGGCCCTTCCTTCGCTTTGAGGGGCCCACACCCTCTATAATCTCAGGGATAAAATGTTCAGACAGTCTGGAAGAATGCCCGTCTTGTGAATAAAACATAGAAATGTCATGTAAACTATTCGGTAAGTAATACTATGACAATGAAAACATGTCATTCAAATCTAGGGCATTTTCAAGGATCAAACAGTAGAGCATAGCACTTGCAAGGTCACGGTTTCAATTCTCAGGAAATACAAGAACTGATCAAATGTATACCTTGATTACAGTGTAAATCACTTTGGATAAAAGTTTCTGCCAAGTACATAAATGTAAATGTAAGGCCATAAACTTTCAGCAAGTATGTGTATGCAACCGCGAATGCTTGGACAGTGGGTGTACTTGCATTCAATTATTAGCCTTCATGCCACACAAGGTCAGCTTTACACGTAGTTGCATTGCAAAATGTGGCAGAACGCAATTCATAACCGTAAGCAAGTATGTGCGCTGTCCAATCGCTTCTTGTTGCGTTTCAGTACTTGTGTGAAGTAGGCGTCTGTTCACACCAACAAAAATATTTTAATGTCTGTTAAAAAAAGCATTAAAAGCATTAAAATGTTCTTTTTCTCATTATCACTTGTCTGTTCAAAATGTCTGTCCAATCACTGGCATGTTTCAGCTGCGTTTCAGTACTTGTTTGAAGTACGTTTCTGCTATAAACGTCTGTTCACAATAAAGAAAATGTGTGGCATGCGATTTGTCTGTTCAGACCAATGTGGAAAAAACGCCAGATGGGCTGAATGAAAATGCAAATTCACTCTCTGACAGTAGGTGGCGCTTATGGGAAAGTTTAAATACATACAGAACTTTCAGCTAAACAACGTTATTTACATATATTCACTATAGTGTTTATCAAACAATGCCAAATATAAGAGTACAATAGAGCCAGTTCTGGATTCTTCATTATTTGTTTAGGTGTGAACAGGCCTTGTTAATAAGAACCCATTATACTTTTTAAATTTAAAACTTTCTTTAGTATGTAATGTTGAGCATGAAAAAGCTCTGCAAAGATACAAAGGACAAAGTTTACTCCAAAGAGTTATTCTCTATATCAGTAAGCGCTGTTTCTGAACTCCCTGAAACGCCTCTATTGTAGTCTTGAGTTTTCTTCAGGGAACGTATATTTCACAATATCCCTCATTTAAATAATTCATACCCAAGGCAATACGCAAAAAAAAAAAAAGAAGAAAAGGGATGAGGCAAAGTTGAGTTGCATTAGTATTGTGTTGGAAACTTGCGGTTATGGTGAAGGAGTTGCAATTTGAAACATGCTCAAAATGGTTGACCAATCAACACACTGGTCCAGCCGACCAATCAGAGCACATTGTGCTTTTCGGAAGGAGGGGCTTCATTGAGACTGGAACTATACAGAGTGTTACTGACAGACTGGGTAGAGAGGTGCTGCAACAATGTAAAATATGTGCAAAATAATGTGTTCAAGCATGAAAATCTATTTCAATAACCCCAAAAAACTAAATCAAGACTTTGTAAAAGGAATATTATGGCCTCTTAAATTGTTGCTCTCCTTACATAGATTACCAGAAACTAATTGCGGTTTCCTCTGCGGTTTCTTAGACTACAAACTGTGCTTGCGTTCAACCATTTTTTTTACCATATTTTACAACTAAATCTTATTTCACCATGATTGTAGGTGTACTGGCACAAAACATTTCCTCAACTGCAAAAAAGAGTGGACATAGGGGAGACACCAGTCATTCTCATTTTGACACTCGAGAATATCTGTTTATTTGCTGGTCCATCTATGCATCCGTCTGGAAAGGAAGGCTGCCCATTGTGTTTGATAAATACCTGTCACCCTTTTCATTGGACAGCTGTGGGCACTTCCACAAACACATGTAAAAGCCTGTGTGACTAGGAGGAATAATACATGCCTTTTAAAGGAGCTCACCCTTATCACTCCCTCCCATACAGTGAGAGAGAGAGAGAGAGAGAGAGAGAGAGAGAGAGAGAGAGAGAGAGAGAGAGAGAGAGAGAGAGAGAGAGAGAGAAAGGAGGGAGACATTGCTCTTTATTTTTGGAGGGGAACCAAATGTAAGCATCAATAATGTACAAGCACAAATGAGTGTCCCAAATACAGCTAGAAGGTAGCTGAAGCCATTTTGACTCCTTCAGATCCTCTTCAGGATCCAGTTACAGGTCTAAAGCGGCAGGTTGACATGAACTCACAGATCGTTGTTGTTTTATGTAAATGAGTAGCTTGTTAATAATAATTGTAATTTTCATTCTTATTAATTGATAATGTATTTAATGAGTTATTTTGACTTGCAGACAATACAAATGGATAAATTATATTATTATTAATTAAATTATTATATGTGTTACATTCATCATTTTGAGTGGTGGATAATAGCACAGGTGAAATCCTGTTCATTGCAGGAGGGACCTGAGGGACCAGAATATCATAAAGACATGGAAGATGCAACCAGAACACTCATCATAGTGGCTAGTTTTGCACAGGCAATCCCCACTGTTATTTTCTTCAGGAAATGTAAAGATCTAGTTCTTTTACAGTTTTTCTGAATAAGCTCTCCTGGTTAAAAGTATTAGTGAAAAACAGTTTTTTCCATCTCCATAGGCTAGATCTCCATATATGGGAAAGCATCTGTCCCTCTTAGCAGATCTTGCTTTACTTTCTCTGTGGAATTTTACAGCGTAGACCTGCACTGTGTGCTCACGCTCACAGAGATAAGGCATTAGAGCGTGATCAATCATACTGCAGTTTATCAGGATCAAATCTGTGACACAAAGAAACAAACAAAAGCAGGTTATGATGGCTGCACGCATATAGCTACACGCCCATTTGTCTGCAAGAAAAAAGTACGAATAAATGCTGTTGTCTGTGTTAGCGGCGCCTGAGTATCGACCAAATCTTTACAAGAGCCTTTTATTGGCAAGGCCAGTTAATCTCCTGAAAAAGATCAATAGTTTTTAACCGAGGTCGTCATTAAATGCAGAGATGGCCAACACTCAAAGCTTTGTTTGTCGCTTGCAATCTACAGTACTATTGGCCATATGGAAGGAAACACTCGGTCTGAGTTGTGAGAATGCAGCCTGTCTGATGCTTTTAAATGTCAGTGAGTGTCCTGAAGATCTTTAAATATCTAATATCTAAATTAGGTAGTTCCTGTTAGGATTAATTGGTTCTCAGATTTGATTGGATTGTCTGTGTTTGCATGCTCCAGACAGACTGTCTGTGCATTAGTGGTTGGGATTTAGTGTAACTGTCCTTACGAGCAAGTCATTGAATCATTCATTCAACCGAATTGTTCAAAACATTGATTCATTCATGCTGATCGCATACTCTCTTTAAATTAATACTTACTTTGCTGCTGCTAAAAAGTGTGTTCTATATAGTATGAATGAGTGTAACCTAGACATACAACATTCATCATGTTGTCAATGACATGTGACCTACAATTGAGCTGCATAACTTCACTGCTATTTACATCCCTTATCCTGTGGTCATCCGGGTGCTTTTCACCTATAATGTTATTTGAATTTGGTCATACTTCTGTTTTCGCATACTGTTTTTTAGGGAAGTAGGCATATCGGATGTAGCTACGTTTTTACGAGGAAGTCATTGCTTCTTGCTCAAATGATATTGCTTAATATATATTCAATTCAATGCATCTTTATTGTAAAAAAAAAAAAGCACCTGTCTTGTGACTTGATTCATTCAGTAATCTTAATGTGCACTTATGTAACAACCATAAAACGCAGCATTACTGTCATCTATTGTGCTATAGAGAGAAAAGCTATCCGGGACGTAATGGTTTCATAAATGCAATTGTTTATACACTTAGTAAACTGTTAAGAGGTCTTAATGTATGCTGATGTAAGTATATTCCTATCCAGAGTGCTGTAGATGCAGCACTTTCCATTAAAGAGATCACCAGTAGCGGCCTTTGCTATGTTTCACCCGTTCACTTGAAACGGGCCTCACAACACAAGGCTTGTGCTTTAAAAAGAGCCCCACCCCCATCACGATTCGCACACACCGTGGTTGGAAATTATCGGGACCTGGTGCAAAGATGTCAAGATATATAGGGCAAAAAATGTTGCTGTATGAGTTCTTGTTTTTAATATTTATAATAGCCTATATTTATACATTTATAATTCAGGATATAGAGTGCTGTTTTCCGGAACATCGGCACTATTGCAAATTTGAAGCTTATTGATTTTATACAACAATGAAGAGCTAAAAATATATATTATATGGCATCTGAAAGTTGTGTAAATGTACGTTTATTACCAGCTTTTTCCACTTTCGATGTTATTTCTAGCGAGAAATTGCTATTGTAGCAATTAAATATTTGCTACTAAAGCTTGCTCTATTTTGTTGTAGATCATTAAACCGTTATGCTGCCTCAGAAGTCTGTCCGAAATAATTTTCATGATATACCTCCATGCGCAAACACTGCCTGCAAAATCATTGCCTGATAGGGCAGCGAGGCAACAAGCTTTTGGACGCAGTCACTTGCTTTGTCCCTGAATGAATCAGCCGTTTTGAACAGATTGTTTGACTGAACGATTGAATGCTCACTCGTTAAGACAACGATTTGAGGATGGGAAGTTCGGTCTGGACTGGATCCGTTGTGAAGCAAAGAATGGCTGCCGCTGGAGAATTGAGATGTGTAGATTCAGCCATCTGTTATAGAAGATCTATACCGCGCATTCATTTTAAAAGAGGAACAGAGAACCGCGATCAAGGCATTTGATGATCGGAAATATGTTTTTGCCGTCCTTCCTACGGGATTCGGTCTATCCAATTGAGTGCAGAGGCACTTTTTTTCCTGGTTCGGTTGAAACACGTCCCATAATCACAGCCCAATGGAGTAGTATCAGACTCACATTCTGACTAGAATCTGAGTATGACGACGTCAGGCTACCATGCCACAAGAAAGACTATCATATCCGCACTTGCCCAGATGTCAATTGAACACGACTTTATGAGATCGCTGGATAAACTTGTCAGAGCTTTTGCAGCACTCCATCACCAGAAAGTTCTTAACATCAAAATCGGATGCAAGTGTAAAATATTTTCTCTTGATGTAGCCTATTCCTATGTTCATATTGTATTACTTATTCCCAGGGGTGTAGTACCAAATTTTGGGCCCTGGGTACAAACCATCTTGCTGGGCCCCCCGCGACGAACTTTTGACTTGAGCTCGGCGACTTCTCCAATGGGGGTTTGTTGTAGAGACGGAGACGGACTCTCCAACGTGGGGGGGGGGGGGGGGGGGGGGGTTGTTGTAGAGACGGAGACGGACTTTTGACTTGAGCGCGGCGACTTCTCCAACGGGGGGGGTGGGGGGGGGGGGTGGGGGGGGGTATGGGTATGAGCGGACTTTTGACTTGAGCTCGGCGACTTCTAAGGGCCCCCCCCCCTGCCTCGGGCCCTGGGTACTCGGTACCCCTTTTCCCCCCGCTACCACGCCCCTGCTTATTCCTATTAAATCACTTATCTAATCCCTGTTCTCTCATTTTTATTTCTTTGTTCTCGAGCCTATCATTATCTCTAACGTAATGGTTAGAGAGTCAGACTGGTAACCCGAAGGTTGCGGGTTCGATTCTCAATGCGGCCAGGAAATGACTGAGGTGACCTTGAGCAAAACAGTTAACCCCCAATCGATCCCCAGGAGCCACAAAAACCCCCAAAACATTTTTGCTGTTTGCAGTGTGTTCACTACTCACTACTCCTAATGTGTGTTCACTAACTTGGACAAATTCCGAATATAAGTTTCCATACTTGGCCTTCACATGTCACTTTCACTTAATGCGTGGATAGCGGTAGATAGAGTTTATCTAGTTTACACTAGTTTATAGACTATTAAGAGTGAAATATGAGTTAACATTGTTAAATATAGAGATGTTCCAATACCCTTTTTCCCTTCCCTTCCCGATACCGATTCCGATACCTGGATTCAGGGTATCGGCTGATACCGAGTACTGATCCGAAATCTGGGTGTGTATCTATACAGCTGCAATTCATACTAGCCCTGTATGAATTGATATAATTATTTTATGGTGTGCTTCAGACTTATCCCTTAATAAAACATGAACAAATACATACAGTGACCTAGAGCATTTTTATTATCTGACATACATTTCACAGCAATATATTATATATATATTTTTTAAAGGGACTATGTGTAGGTTTTTACTTAAAAAACATCTTTAAGATAGTCTTCATTTGTACATTTATGAGCCAACCATAATGTAATAGAAAGAATGACACCTTGACTGTCCACCACGGTTGCCTCTATCAGCCTGTAGGCTCAATAGGCTCTATGCACGATCGCTTCCGTGTTTTGTCTCAGCCCGCCCAGTTACATCAGGTGCTGCGTCAAAAGCCGTTTTTGCATTAGGTGGAGATAATGGCAAATTACACTCGCTGTTTACAAGAACTTCCAGCGGTTAACGTGAATGATGTTAACAATATTGTGAGGCAGTTAGCTGTCACACATAAGAGTAAGAAAGAGAAGGGCATTAAATTATATATTTCGAGCTACATCGACAACTTTGAGGGTGAGTAATCTCTCATAACATGCGAAATCCGACTAGCGAATCAGTTTCTAAAATCGTTGTCTCATTTCTGAGAAAATTAATTTTATTAAAGTTTGGCCTCTAGCACACTTCGCTATAGAACGCGCTATGCGGAGGTAAAGACACTGGCTGAGATTCTACCGGAAATACGTCAGCAGCGTTCGTGCATAGAGCCTATTGTGTGTGGAGGAGTCGGGTCCGAATTGGCGTGAAAATTCACAAAATATGTCGTCATGCGCGCTCTCGTCTACTTGGGCTTGCATCCGTACGGCAGCCATTAGTAAGCAGCGGCAATCGCTAGCAGTAGTGTTTCAAATGGACTCTGCGGACGGAAAGAAGCGACCAGCCTCCAGCACAATCCAGATACCCACGGAAACTCCTCGTAAGTAAAAAAAAAAAAAAGCCCTATCTAGTGTGGCCAACGAGCGTGCGAGCGTGCGCACCGAGAACGAGCATGAGACTGCCTGCAGTTTCTCTAACGGCCACTGGTTTCAGCAACGGTAAGAAATTTCAGAACTTCCGCAATGCTCCTTTAAGTGAAAAAGAACTTAAAATCCAGCCACACATCTAATACTTTAAACTGAAAAAGGTATTTTAGATTTACAATATCACTGTATAAAAAAGTGCAACAAATAAATCTAGGAATCTAAAAAATGATATATGAATAATATAAGAAAATAACCTCTTTATAACTTAAAGTCCAGAAACATTTTTAATTAAATTTAAAACTCAATAATTTTGTCGGTTATATTTATCGCTCGTTGGCTGCCTTTTGAAAACTTTTCTCTTCGTTTGAATGAAGCTTCCAGAGATTGTTGATTCTGGCGCGGGCCGCGCGGCTCATCCTTATCTGCCCTTGCCATTGTGTTCTGCGGGGTGACGCGTCTTCAAATGCTTTATTAAGTGTTGAAGCTGCTAATCTTGTGCCACCCCTCGAAATAGCAGTATGGCATATGAGACATGTCGCCGTTTTACTGGCTGGTTGGTCCAGTCTTAAATACTGCCAAACAGCGGACATACTGCTAGCGTGCGCTTTCTTCTTCGCCGCTCTAAACAGTGTGGTTGCTTGTGGCAACAGCACAACTTCCTGTGTTGCCACAAGCAACCACTGTTTAGAGCAGCGAAGAAGAATTGATCTCCGATTTGCAGCGTTAAGCAAAGCTAGCGTGCATAACTAGTTATTGTTTAAGAAAAGGGTATCGGATCGGTACATGGGTAGAAGTACTCGCCGATACCGATGCCAGAATTTGTATTGGTATCGGCGGCATTTCCGGCGGGGGGTTTGGAGCCTCCAACTGCTTCTTTGAAATGGGCCCCCGAAATGCAAATGCCGCCTCTGCAGACCACAGTCTGATTCATGTGGTGTTTGTGTGTTTGCATATGTATTTGTTCACAGGCCCAATAAAGAGAACACAGGGGAAGTGAGCGAGTCTGGTGCGTCACTAGTGAAACATGCCCTCAACCCAGAAAAACCCTTCATGCAGGTGCACTATCTGAAGGTACATCTGATAGCTCAAATTGCAGACTTCTCTGGGACATCCTCTGGGTTGTGTAGAGTTGCTCTCTCTCTCTCTTTCTTTCTCAGGGATACTTCCTCTTGAAGTTTCTGGCTGATCAGATTGGCGAAGAGAAGTTCCTGCACTTCTTCAAAGTGTTTGTGGGAAAATTTCACGGGCAGCTCATTCTGTCTCAGGTGAGTGTGTCCTGCACAGGAGCTGTGTATTCATTTTTAGCCTGAAAGCAAATGTAGCTTTTGACCTCACAATCATTCCATCAGCTTGTATCAGAGAAAGTATGCACTAGTTCCCCTAAAGGTGTAATTGTTGACTTGATTTGACGCATAGCTGCATCCAGGGTTCAAAATTAACACTCACAATGCACCAAATGAGATTTAAAATTGCTTCTGGTAAATATAGAAAAGAGTTGATTGCTATTTGGCTAGTTACTTTATTAGGAACTGCAAAATAATAATAATTTCATCTCTAAGCGAATTTGTCAGTGAAATGAAAAATAAAGTTTTTACATTGTCAAAATAGATCCACCTCATGTGAGTGTATTTTTATTCATCCAGTCATATTTAAAAATTGGGATAAAAATACCTGGATGCAAACCTCTGCAATGTACTGGCACAGATTGCATTCTTCTATAAGCTTGTAGTGGACAATTTATCATCGAAAGCTTGGGTAACACTTTATTTTGATGGTCCCTTTTAGACTTAATCTCTATATCTATAATTACTTAATATCTGCTAACACTTTATTGTGATGGTCCCCAACAGACATTCTACTGACTATACTGTAAGTAACTTTGCAACTACGTCAACTTATTCTACTAACCCTAACCCCTTATTATACTAACCCTAACCCTACATCTAACAGTCTACTAATACTCAACTAATACTCTAATGAGAGTTAGTTGACTTGTAGGTGCAATGTTACTTATAGTCAACAGAATGTCTAAGGGGACCATCAAAATAAAGTGGAACTGAAGCTTGTCTATGATGTATAAATGTTTTTTCCCCTCCAGAAAATCATGTGGCAACACTTATGAAGTATTCCTCATATTATAGTATTCCACCATAATGAAAATATGATCACAAATCGTCTACATAATTTTGTGTCAGGTGCTGTTTCATAGAGAGATACAAAGAGCTTACTATTTTCTCAATTTGCTTGCCAGAGTGCAACAGTGGACGTCCACTTTGAAGCACTGTGAATGACAATCGAAATAAAATGATGAATGAATATAAAACTTGATTTAAAGATGTTGAATATGTATATAGAAACAAATATTTGTATATAATATGCATATTTGGCAATGAACATAAAATATATTAAAGGTTTAGTTCACCTAAAAATGAAAATTATCTCATTAATGACTCACCCTCATGTCGTCCCAAGCCCGTAAGACCTCCGTTTATCTTCGGAACACAGTTTAAGATATTTTAGATTTAGTCCGAGAGTTTTCTGTCCCTCCATTGAAAATGTATACACGGTATACTGTCCTTGTCCAGAAAGGAAATAAAGACATCATCAAAGTAGTCCATGTGACATCAGTGGGTTAGTTAGAATGTTTTGAAGCATCGAAAAAACATTTTGGTCCAAAAATATCAAAAACTACGACTTTATTCAGCATTGTATTCTCTTCCGGTTCTGTTGTCGAGCCGCGTTCAGTGACGCTGATGACGTAAGATGAAGATGAACGGAGGTCTTATGGGCTTGGAACGACATGAGGGTGAGTCATTAATGACATAATTTTCATTTTTCACTAACCCTTTAAGTCGTTTGAGAGTGTAGGGAGACTTGATCACAGTAAAATAGGTCTGTCTTTAAAGGTTTGTAAGTTATCGTTAAAAATCAATTCCCCTATGGAAAAAATTAATGGGATTTTTTTTTTTGCTTCCAGAGGTCGACTGTTGCGCTCTATTGGCAGGTGTGACAAAAAGTTCATTTTGGACCTTGGTAGTAGACTAGTGGAGAAATACATTAAGACGTTTCAGTATTTTCAAACACTGTATGCTCTGCTTGAAGCTTTGATATTCACACACTGCTTTTCATTTATACTGTAGTCTGTCTCTGTCTCTTGTAGGATTTCCTGCAGATGCTCCTGGACACATTTCCAGCAATGAGCAGGTATGAAGAAATGGGGTCAACATTGGCTTTCAAAAACACATACTCAATGAACTCCTCAACTGCTCTGCCATTATTATTAGTGTGGGGAACTTTCACTGTAGGTATTTAAACCAGACCCTGCAGGGGTCTTTCTTTCCAGCTCTACCTCAAATGATTTTTCCACTGGTTCTCTTGCCCAAACTCACCCGTTGTATCATCAATATTTATTTTCCTTTTTCACTGTTTCATCATTTTCATGTTGACATAATGTTGTCATTAAAACTGCCCAAAAACGTATTATATAGAAGAAAAATGAGGAGGCTCCTTTTCCCTTCATAATATTGTTATGCTTTGTGGCCAGTGGGAAGTCTAGTTCTGATAGGGTCTTTTTCATGGTGAATGATAGAAGTGTTGAGTCCTATAGCTGCTCCATGCTTCAACTGTGCATATTCACTGCTATGCTAGCAGAAAACACAAAATGCACATCTTTAGTGAGTTATTTATATACCCATTTGTGCCGGATGCTGCGTGCCGAAACATTATATCTACCGCCGGTTACTGCGTTGCGCAACTCTGAACCTCCTGCCGGCTGCTGCGTGGCGCAGCATTTTGTATTCGTCATCCTTTTCATGACGCTTGCAGCATAGAACGCACTGTCATTGGTTCAAATACACATGAGGTGGGTCTTGTTGATTTTTTAAAGACCACGTGACCACCCAAATGTACTGTAGTTCGCTAAAAATCACGTCAATCAATCAGCTACACACGTGCATTTGTTTGGGATTTTTTTTGGAGACGCGAGCGAGAAAATGGCAACGACAGAGGCGTGTGCAAAGGCAAGAATACCGAAGGCAAGACACAGCCCGACAAATTAAGCGTCTGGGACTTACTTTCACTTTGATTTGCGATAGTTTGCGGCGCGTTGGCTTGATGAATAGATGCTCAGCTGCTCATCTGAGGTGATGCGTCGTGTCGCAGTAGCGTCGTCATATCTGACTATGACATGACATATAGCCTATAACACGCTCTCACACGTTTATCTTTTAGCATTTTTGGGAGGAGTAATATTTACTTATGTGGTTTCAACAACCAGATGCATTTACACTTGTCCAGTTTCGTCTGGAATGGGGCCCAGACCTCCTCCTGAAGTGGTTTGAGCGATCGGATTCAAATCCGTCTCGGAGGGCATTTACACCTGGTCTTTTCACGATCGGATAGCTATCCGATCACAGAAAACGCGTGAAGTGGCCAGGTGTAAACAGCCCCACACACACCGCGCGCGCCGAACAGACGCGCGGTCACCAACTCGAAGTGGAACCCTGTCTCCAAAACGGAGATGAAGACATTTGTCGGGCTGTGTCTTGCCTTCGGTATTTTGAAGCTGCCAGCACGCAGGGATTTCTGGAGGCCATGGCAAGGGACCGCTTCGACATGATCTGGAGGTAGTTATTTGTGTTTTGTTTTTATAATGAATAACTAGCATAATAAATTGTAATATAATTATGTGATGATGGTTGATAATGATAATACTAAATACAATAATGTTAATATAAATACAATACTGGCATAATGAATAAATAGCATAATAAATAGTCATATAATTATGGCATAATGAATAAATATAAATACTATAAATATACATAAATAATATAATACATATGAATAAATAAATACAATGATGGCAATAAATGTTATGTTAGAAATTATTTTTATCATATGCATTTTCAGATATCTCCAAGATAACATCGATGCATGAGCCAGAGATGTGAGCCATGGAGCTCAGAGACTGTTCCCAGTTCCACCTCAGGACTTTCCCCACCTCTCTCTCATAACAAGAATCCTTGTTCAGTGTGTTGGCATGTTTAAAATGTTATTTGTTTTATTTTATATAATTGATTTATATTTTTTTTCTTCCCCATATGATTTTGAGAATTTCTAGAAAAATGTGTTGTTATGTTAGTGCTAAGGGAGCATGTCTTAATAAAACCTGTGATTCTTACCTTTAAAATGTATTTTATTTCATGTTTCTAAGTACTACAGAGGCTGAGATATTAAGGTTTTGGTAGACGTTGACAATTCGAAGTATTTTTTTCAGAAAACCCTCAGGAGATAAGGATATTTATCCTAGAATAACATAGGTTTTTATAGGCGTTTTTAGCAGGCGTTTTAGGAGTAAATGGGTTATATAGTAAGTTATGTCTTTGGATACATGTCAGAATATCAGATCTGTACATTAGGCCTTGCTGTGTAAATTGAGCTGTGTTAATATTAGTCAAACAACAATAAATAAATAAATCACTGCTCCTAATTTATTCTTTACTTGTTTGAAGCAGTGTTTATTTTAATAGGCTACTGTATGTGTACAGTAATACCGTTTTTATTTTTAAGTTGTTAAATAATTAATAAATAAAACCATTTTTCTTCAACAAGTAATTCATTTACTATTTAACGGTTTTAAATAAAGCACTTTAAGTAGCATTATGAAATTTAACTAGTATTGGTTTCGACTATGTTGGTGTCATGGCAAATTGTAAAACAATCAGCGCTCTCCCTTTTCTTTACTATCTGCGATCTTCATTTCTTCATCTCTCTTCATTTCTCCTCTTCTGTTTCATCTGTCTCTCTTTCGGTTTCATGTAGTCTCCATTTGCTCATTAAGGCCTAGCCACTGGCTGATGATTGATTAAATTACATTAAACTGGAAGGTAAGGGCGTTCAATATTTGTGTCTGCTGCTCAGAAGTGTAAACATTCATGGCGGCACAACGCTGGAACGGCAGACTGATGTGGTGAAACAATCACAGATGGGCCTCCTTGTGTCAGATCAAAGACAAATCAATGCTTCCATGGCAAACCGTTCCTCCTACACCACCCCCCAGTTAAGGAAGTGCACGGCAGCTTCTGTTAATGTTTGCCTGACTCACTTCAGATATCTGTGCTTTACTTGTCCCCCTTTTTTTTAGTTTCTATTCATTTTCTCAGCAAATTAACATTCCTTGTTTGACTAAAAAATGGACAATGAATCCCTTTTAGACATACAGTACATTTAGAGAGTCACCTGAGCCATATGTACTGTACCTACCAGAATATGGTATGGGCTTGAGGTGAGTGGGCTCATTTCACTCACGCCAGTAAACAACCACCAAAAACACCCTAGCAACCAAACATAAACATAGCAACATGCTGGCAGCCACCCACAAAAACCTTCATGGATGCGACTTTTGCATTGGCAGTGTGTTTATAGTGCTAGTTCAGAATGCTTTTTAAGTTTCCTTCAGAAATTTACCACGATTTTACTATAATTACACTACTATAATATACTATTTAGTATAGTAACTGTATTATTTTTAATCAATATGTTTAGTTTTTATTTCAAATGAGGCAGTGGTAGTTATAGTTATATTGATATTGATCTGAACACCTCATCTTTGCATATTACAAATTATCTATGCTTATTATACTATGAACATTTTTCATAAGAGTTTATGAGAAGATCCTTAATAAAAATGACCACTGTTACCATAATATTCTCCAAAATACCAGCAGTTACTACAGTTACAGTTAGCCGTCATCAAAATAATACATAAAACAAAGGGATACAATTATTTTGAAAGCTTTAAGATGATCACATAATTATTTATTATGATTTTACCGTAGTAATATGCATCCATGGTATTTTGCCAGAAACTATGGTTATTATGAATTTTTAAGGGCATTGGGTAATCAATAGTATGCAGCATGCTTTCCATTTTAACTAAGTTAGAAGTTATTAATTAGGCATACAGTGGTTTGCGAAAGTATTCAAACCCCTTCGTTAATTTCACATTTTGTTATGTTGCTGCCTTATGTTAAATTACTGAACAACCAGGACTCTTCCTAGAGCTGGGCTCCTGGCCAAACTGAGCAATCGATGGAGAGGGGTCTTGGTTAGAGTGGTGACCAAGATGCTGAAAGTCACTCTGGTGGAGCTCCATGATCATATATGGAGATGGGAGAAATTTACAGAAGGACAAAAATCACTCCACCGATCTGGGCTTTATGGCAGAGTGGCCAGACTCGAGCCTCTTCTCAGTGTAGACACATGAAAACCCACTTGGAAATTGCACCAAAAAAAACCCCTAAAGGACTCTTTCAGACTGTGAGAAACAAGATTCTCTGGTCTGATGAACCCCAGTTCCAAGTGTCATGTGTGGAGGAAACCAGGCACTGCTCATCACCTACACAATACCATCCCAACAGTAAAGTGTGGTGGTACCAGCATCATGCTGTGGGGCTGTTTTTCAGCGGCAGGGATTGCGGGACTCATCAGAGTAGAAGACAAGCTCAACGCCGCAAAATATAGAGTTAGCCTTAATGAAAGCCTAGTCCAGAGCATTCAGAACCTCAGACTGAGCAGAAGGTTCACCTTCCAGGACAATAACCCTAAGCACACAGCTAAGACAATGCAAGAGTGGCTTATGGACAACTCTATGAATGTCATTGAGTGGCCCAGCCAGAGCCTGGGCTTAAAGCCAATCAAACATCTCTGGAGAAACCTGAAATTGTCTGTCCACCAACGGTCCCAATCCAACCTGACAGATCTTGAGGATCTGAGGAGAAGAATGGCTGAAAATCAGCAAATGCAAATGTGCAAAGCTTGTCACATGATACACAAATGTACTTATTACAGTTTTTCCTTTTTAAAGCTGCAGTCCGTAGCTTTTTTTGGGTTAAAAATTATCCAAAATACATATTTGAGAAAATACATAACCAGCCAGTGTTCAAAACTATCTGCTTGCCTTAGCTCGATTCAAAACGGTAAGCTTGTAATAATGTTTTTAATTCCAGTGGTACTGGTGGATTTCCGCGGGAGATTCGAGCATGTCTTTGCATCATTACATCACATCTGTACACATAAAGTAGGAGTCTTGGCTAGTAGGCTATATTGCGTGTGAGGATGTTGAAGGTGGAGATTTTTAGCCTTTTCTCACAGCACTTGATATAATTAAACTTATCAATTTGATGGCAGATCCAGAAAGTTTAAACGACAATCACCAGTGACAACTGGAGACTCACCCGCTGTAAAATGCAAAAGACTTCGTTCGGACTTCGGAGTGGCTACAGAAAAAAAAGAGACGGTAACCGGACCCATGCGAAAACAAGGACAATATCGGAAGGACATTACATGTAGTCACGCAATGCTTACGTTGTTAACATTAACAATTTGAGAACAAAGTATAAGTTGCACGGTTTTGCGTGATATGATAAGTAATTGTTAGATTTAATCAGCGCGATTTACTGCAATGTCAAAACCAGAACAAAAGTGGATGTTACTTGTTCAGATGACATTTTCCGGTGAAATTTATTATGTTGGTCATACTTCCAAAAAGAATAATCTGTGATTCTGAATGCCAGTATCCACACCGGCGCGGTGACTGACAGCTGCACACTCTCCTCAAACATTGTGTTCATCCGCGCTGTGCCGTGTCGAGGGTGTTGAAGTACAACTCGCGTTGAAGTGGATAATTCCGCGAATAACTGCAATTGCAGATTGCAAACAGAGATGGCGACAAAGAGGAAAAACTGCGGACTGCAGCTTTAATAAATTTGCAAAGTTGTCACAGATCTGTTTTTTTTTTTTTTTTGTCATTATGGTGTATGGAATGTAGATTGATGTGGGGAAAAAAAGTAATTTAAAGTAGTTTAATAAGACAGCAACATTACAAAATGCGGAAAAAATTAATGGGTTTGAATACTTTTGCAAGGTACTGTGTATAACAGCATGACTAATCATACCAGAACAGTGTTTACATGCACTATTAAGTGTACTTCACAGGTTCTTTTAATTCTCATTCATGCTTCATCAAATGAATCTCAGCATGCATTTGAACATTTGCTTGTAGAATGAGCCTTGCTTTTATTCTGCAACAACATGCTGTGGCACGACAGCGCTGTTATTTAGTAATCACAGTCCGGTGAGCTTAGTGATTCGCTCTGACACTGAGGGCTTTTCCCTCTTCAATGCTGGGATGGAAATTTCCATCCTTTTCATTTGTCATCACTTTAATGTGCTCAACTGTTGTGTCAAAGGGCCTCAAGTGTTGGAGACACACTGTTCCTGTCTGAGACAGTCCATTTAGTTGATTATATGTGCTTTGTGTTTGTGCGTGTGCATGTGTGTGTCTGCGCTCTTGCACATTAACAAGATTGATTTGGAGTAAGTGGTGAATGGCTTCAATTACTGCCAGAGAAAAAAATACTTTGAGTGGAAAGAAGAAAATCAAATCTATGCAGAGTTGAATTGAAAATCACAATTCAGTTCCAGTTGATTTTTAATTGAGATAGGAAACAGGATTGGAATTGGAATTGGAATTTGAAGTAAAATTAAAATGGAATAGAAATTTAAATAAATTTGGAGGAACACTTTATTTCCCAGAATGCTATACATTTATTCAATATTCTATATACTAAGTGATATACACTCACCGGCCACTTTATTAGGTACCCCATGCTAGTAACGGGTTGGACCCCCTTTTGCCTTCAGAACTGCCTCAATTCTTCGTGGCATAGATTCAACAAGGTGCTGGAAGCATTCCTCAGGGAGTTTGGTCCATATTGACATGATGGCATCACACAGTTGCCGCAGATTTGTCGGCTGCACATCCATGATGCGAATCTCCCGTTCCACCACATCCCAAAGATGCTCTATTGGGTTGAGATCTGGTGACTGTGGAGGCCATTTTAGTACAGTGAACTCATTGTCATGTTCAAGAAACCAATTTGAAATGATTAGAGCTTTGTGACATGGTGGAAGTAGCCATCAGAGGATGGGTACATGGTGGCCATAAAGGGATGGACATGGTCAGAAACAATGCTCAGGTAGGCCGTGGCATTTAAACGATGCCCAATTGGCACTAAGGGGCCTAAAGTGTGCCAGGAAAACATCCCCCACACCATTACACCACCACCACCAGCCTGCACAGTGGTAACAAGGCATGATGGTTCCATGTTCTCATTCTGTTTACGCCAAATTCTGACTAACATCTGAATGTCTCAACAGAAATCGAGACTCATCAGACCAGGCAACATTTTTCCAGTCTTCAACTGTTCAATTTTGGTGAGCTCTTGCAAATTGTAGCCTCTTTTTCCTATTTGTAGTGGAGATGAGTGGTACCCGGTGGAGTCTTCTGCTGTTGTAGCCCATCCGCCTCAAGGTTGTGCGTGTTGTGGCTTCACAAATGCTTTGCTGCATACCTCGGTTGTAACGAGTGGTTATTTCAGTCACTGTTGCCCTTCTATCAGCTCGAACCAGTCTGGCCATTCTCCTCTGACCTCTGGCATCAACAAGGCATTTCCGCCCACAGAACTGCCGCTCACTGGATGTTTTTTTCTTTTTCGGACCATTCTCTGTAAACCCTAGAGATGGTTGTGCGTGAAAATCCCAGTAGATTAGCAGTTTCTGAAATACTCAGACCAGCCCTTCTGGCACCAAGAATCATGCCACGTTCAAAGTCACTCAAATCACCTTTCTTCCCCATACTGATGCTCGGTTTGAACTGCAGGAGATTGTCTTGACCATGTCTACATGCCTAAATGCACTGAGTTGCCACCATGGGATTGGCTGCTTAGAAATTAAGTGTTAACGAGCAGTTGGACAGGTGTACCTAATAAAGTGGCCGGTGAGTGTACATTTGGTGTTTTGGAGAAAAAAAAGTCATCTGGACATTTTTGTGGCATTGTATGGAAAAAAATGAAAATGTATTTAATTGTTAGAATTGAACATTGTTTAGGGAAATACGTCTAATTGTTCCTTTTTATTCAGGGAAAAAATAACAGAATAATCAATAGTGAATTAGTCATTAAACCCTCTGGGGTCCTTCGGTCCAAATGGACCCGAAGCATTTAAATATATATATTTTTTAAATCATAGCTTCCTCGGAATGGTCCGAAATTTGGTGACTTTGTTGGTACTTGGTATATGAACACCCAAAAATTGGGGACAGGATTTGAATAGTCTAAGTGGTTGTAAAAAAAATAGTCACACTCAGGACCTTCAGGTCCAAATGGACCCGCATAGGAAATGAATGGGAAATTGGCAAAAATGTGAAAATACAGAGTTTTTTTGTGCGTACAATCTACAAATCAGCCACGATCCAGAAAAAAAGCACACAACAGTGAAGGGGTGAATCTATAAGAGAACGGGAATTGTCAGATCCCGAAATGTAATACTTCATTTGGACAATCAGCTTTTTCTGTACAAGGCACTAAAGCCTGGAATTGTTTACCCACTGACCTGAAAGGAGAGACAAACTGGGTCCTTTTCAAAAACAACCTTAAAGACTCTTTAATCAGAGGTCAGAAATGTGACCACTGACTGTCCGCTGCGTTTATATTGTGTTATATTGTATTATTATGTTTATTTTAACTATGTATTGTGTAATTTTATGTAAAGGCCCACTAGGGACTAACATTGAGAATTAGCCTTGGCTAAAATGTTGTAGTATGGAACATGAGCTTATGTAACATACTTGTCCCTATTCAAATAAACTTAAATAAAATAAATAAATAAAAGAGTGCAAAACAGACACAGCCACACACACACACAAACACACTTTTATACACGTAAACACTAATAAATTCAGATTACATATGTCTTTTGAATTTTTTAAATGCTCAGTTTGTCCACCAGATGGCATCCATCTCATTTCAAAAATTGCTTTCATGAGGCCTAGGCTTGACTCTAAAATGAAATACAGCTTTAAAAAAAAAAAAAAAAAATCTATTATTTTCAATGGGGAAAAAAATGGGTCATAATTATTGCATAAATATTAATTATAAATCATAAAATTATCTCAAAACACCAAAAAAGCGAAGAAAAAATATTATAAAAAAAAAAAAAAAAAGATGATTTTTTAAAATATATATTAATCCCACCCTTCCGGACCATTTGGACCCGAAGGTCCTGAGTGTGACTCTGAAATGAAGGACCCCAGAAAAGTTAAATCATTTGGGTTTTGTTGCAAACTGTGTTGAACTGCGATTCAGTCATTCCTCTTCCTGTCATTCCAATTCAACCTCCTGTCGCATGTGGCCAATTCAATTCAAATGCCAAACTCATGAATTGAAAGAGAGACAAATCTTAAATTCTGAACTATTCAAAACCTAGGTAGTCACACACATTGCATGTAGACTTCTTGTTAAGAATGCTTTTAATTTAAAGAATTTACATGATTTTATAGCACATGAAAGCAAAGTACTTGATCTCCTCCAACAATTACTGAATGTATCACTTTTCTCTTTCAGTCGGGGCATCAGACTTGAAACCATCTTTTCAGACTGGTTAGATACACCTGAAATGCCAGAGGTAAGAAGAAAAAAGCCAAGATCTATTTTGAGATGTTTGGTAATTCAAGCCAGATTATAAACTCTATGATTATGCAAAAGGAATAAAAGCAGGCTTGTTACACAACATGTAAAAGATGTATTGGTGCTACCTCTCATGCCTGTCACCCAGAATGTAAAACCGTTTTTAATCCATTTCCTCTTGAGCAATAGAACATAGAGCGCGTGCATATATCTCTCCAGGACTGACACATGGCATGAATGAAGCAGCTTCCCTCTTGCTTTAAGATCCATTTAACCTCTCAAGCGTTTCTAAACTGGGCTGCCACAAGCTCTTAAACAATTGATGACTAATATGAAGCCATAAATCTGTCTTTTTCTTTCGGCCACTGTTTATTATAAAATTTAGTCATTCTTTTACAGTTTTTAAGGTGATTCACTTCCACACTGAAGATATCATGTTTTCAGCTAGTACTATGTAGGCTGGATGTGTGGAATGTACTCTTGTTGAATGAAGATTGGAAAATCTTTTTTTATGTTTTTTTGTGTTTTATAATAACCAGAAAAGACCACAAAAGCCTTTCCGTTCATCCATCCTGAGTCTATGTCTCAAAGAAATGCATTCAAACGTTAATCTCTCTCCCTTCCTGCGCAGTTTGTCTCAGTTTTTTGCTCGATATGCCCTCATTGGCCAACCAGACTGACATGCGGTGCCATTTTCATTGACGCCGCCTTTGGATCTAATGACACATGGCTTCCAAAATCAGCACATGAACAGTTTCAATTTTGGATAAAATCCTTGTTCCCCCCCCCCCTAACCCCCAACCCCCCCCCGTTTGAAGCCGTTACTTTGACTTTAAAAACATGTTCTTGAACGTTCCTCTAAATAAATAATGGCAGGAAATAGTCGATCCCCACAACAAACAATCACAGCCACATACACACACACATACAAAAGGGAGGAATGAGATGGGAACGGAGCTCTCTTTTTCATTGTGCTATTTTTAAGATGGCAAACATTTGAGCGAGCATAATAAGTTGCTATATCTGCATTTTGAGGTGGGTTTAAGGCTGGGACAATCTGAATCTCATGACCTCCCTTGACTCCACTCGCTGTGGGTTGCTGCTGAAAGGATACGCTCCGAGCAGCCTACCAAATCCCAATCCTGACATTTACCTTTTGTAGAGAAAAGCAAAGCAGCTTTCAGATCATTAGCTTGGGTGCGACTATGGAAAATAGCTGTGGTTCAGGACATTAGAATTCACAGTGGCATATTTAAGCTGGTTTTAGAGAACTAGAGCTCTGTTCAAAAACCTATGCATGCATCCTTTTGCCTACATAGGACTGTCTTCTAAGGCAGCATCCTAAATGTCATGGAACCTCATAGGCAAACCAATATTGAAACTCACAATTACAGTAGCTCTCTGCACAAGACACTTGACTTGAAATGGATTTCAGTAGAATATGATGCTAGCATGTTGCTAAGCTAAGAGCGCAATGCTCTAAAAATACATAGCACATACAATTATTGGGAAGAATAATCACTTTTCAAAAATGCTGATCTATTTTATGAATATTTTTGAGTGTTGAATGAAATGTTTTAAGAATTTATAAATCACCTGCTTTCTCCACCATCTTGGATTTTATGTTTTTTCACTGAGCTTGTCGCAATAGATTTTGGTTTTGCTTTCTCCATGAAGGATACACGCAATTCTGATTTAGGATTTCTTAAAAACAAGGTATCTTGCACTCATGTTGTTCCAAACCTGTATGACTTCAAAACAGCATTGGACCCCATTGACTTTCATTTAAAAAGAACATTTTCTTCATCTGTGTTCTACAGAAGAATAAAGTCATACATGTTTGGAATGACATGAGGGTGAGTAAATTATTTCGCTGTCACTTTAAGAGACTGTATAAGTTTCCTACCTTTTGTAGCCATCTGTGCGTTGGTTCTATTGCCTTATTGTACATGCCTCTAAGCAGCTCACTAGGATTTGGGACGCAGCATACAGTAGGTGGTATTCACTCCAATGTCAAGCCCACTGCCACTTTAGTGAGCAGATGCAAGTTCATTTCTAGTTATTTTAGGCTTGAAAGAGGAATTGTGTGTGTGTGTGTTTTTGAGGGACGAGTTTGAGTGTGTATTTTTTGTCCACTTCTTACTGTTTGAGTGAGCATGTTGCCTATACTACTAGAGCACAAAATCTTGTGGTGGGTAGCTTCCTCTTTTGAATAAAAAAGACAAAGATCTGTTTGAGGTAAAACCATGTCTATGAGTAATAACAAACTCACTAGCGAGTGAACTACAGCTAATGAAATCCCATGTCTCCTCAAGTGCTATCCATATTATTCTGTGCAAAGCAGTGTAAAAATGTCTGCAAGCCATTCCTTCGTGTTATTTGTAGACATGCTGTCAAGAATCAACACTTGTGTACGAAATTTTACTCAAAATGAGCAATTTAGGATCATAATTACAGTCGGTGAGGAAGAAGATCTTGTAATCTTGTAATTAGTGACATGCGTAATCTGCTTTTAGTTGTGTAAAGTGTGCATAAATACAAACGAAAACAATAAGCTGTTTAATTGTGCACAGGGGAGAGACGACCTTCAGCCTAATGCGTAATGCGAAAGATAGGTTTGTTCACCAATGAATTATATAAAGCACGTTAAAACCAGGAATATGTATTAAGAAAGTAAGAAGGATCAGATAATTTGACAGATAATACAGTTTTAAAAATCCATCTCAAGTTCAGACAGAGAGCTGTGAGAGCAGTTAGCACGTCTGTCATCGTAAAAAGCAGCTGTCGCTTTTGTGCCGCCAACACAAGGGCAGCATCCACTGTTAACTGTTCAACACCAATTTAGTAGGCCGGTTTTTGGAGTTCATACAGACGTGCTAATACAGAAATACTACATTTACCGTATGTACTGTCAGCATGCGTGAGATGGGAGTTTGCGAGTGTGTGTTTGTGTGTGCTTTACGAGTTTGGCTGTGAGAGGGGGCTGATTGCAGTGTCTTGCAGGCGCACAAAGGCCTGGCTGTGCCGGGAATGAACCAGGCAATCTGGGCCGTAAAACTGCTATGTGTGGTATCCAAGTTAACAATGGCAGTTTGCAGCCCGAGAGTCAAATTCTGCTCTGCCCACTCTCCTTTCCCGAAAGTGCACACAAGTCACAAAAACACACACACACACATAGACATGCACACATATCGCAGACTTTCTCTCTTCCCTGGGGTAGCAAAAATACGTCTCTTTAACTCTTTAAGTGGCTAGTAAAGTCATGCACGCACATAAAGACACTTGAGGAGAGATGTGCTACTTTTTCTAAGACTTTAAATTTTTGGAAAAATGGGCAGAAAAATGTATAGACTTGCATTTAAATAGGAACCCAAGCCATATTTAGGGACCAGACTTTTTAAATTTAAATTCTTTGTAGGTTGACTGTTCATAGTTGTCTGTGTCCTAACCAGATGCGACACAACATTTTATATGTTAATCAGAGTTTTTGTCCTAACCAGCTGTGACGGCGGGATGCAATGTTCAACACAGGTTTCGACTGATTGTGTTTTGTATAATATTAAAATGGTTTAATTTGAGTTCTTTGTGCATGACTTTAATAGCCATAATGAAATGGATAATATACTTCAGATCTTGAAAATAAATTAACGGAAACAGGGACATTCAAACTTTGTGACTGAATAAATTTGTTTAGTTCAAAGATCGAATAAGTCATTGATTATTTACAATAGTGTTATTTTGAATAGTGTGGAAAGATTTTATTGTTAATTGAAATAAAGTAATATAACTTGATAAACTAAAATGATATTTTTTAACATACTTATTACTATGCAGAAAAAAATATAATAATATACACTTAAAAAATAAAACTAACCTTCACAGAGTGAAAACAAATGGCAAAAATAATCTGATTGGACAAACTGAAAAATAAATGAAGCTAAAACTAAAATAACCCTGGTTTTAAGCCTTGCTATAAGTCAGATTGTAATCAGATAAATCAGATTCCCTATCGGTCAGTCACTACAACGTAGGTCAGACTGACCAATAGGAATCTCGCTAGAGAGGCCAATCTACTTCGAGTGAAACTAAAACAAGCCAATGCACATTGGCATGCAATCATTTGCATCAGCTGCGCGTCCTCGTCAGCGCGGGTATTTAACAGCAGCTGTTATGATTGCACACTAGCTTTTTGCTTCGGAGCCAAACGCTTCATGGTAATCCTACAGAGTGTGAAACTTGGCAAGCCTTCGTTGGATCTCTCCTTGTTCGGTGCGGGCGTTACAGCACGGCAGCGCGAGCAGTCTTGTGTCCTCTCTCTTCTGTCTGTCTTTTTTGTTTTGTTTTTTTGAGCAAATTCAAAAAAGCTGTTTTAACAGCTGGTAAGGTGCGCAGTTCAGCGCTCAAAGGCTGTTCTCACAGCCGGTAAGACCTGCCAGCGAGAGAGAGAGACAGCGCACAGACGGGTGCACATTCCCGTCTGTGTTCGCAGTGACTGTTCCCCTGCGTGCTTCAGCACCAGTGAGAGTAGTCCCTAAAAGAGCTTACACAGATAGACAGCGTCTTTAAAAAAAAAAAAAAAAAAGATGACTTTCTATCTGTGTGTTTCTGGATGCGGTCGTTACCTGGGCTCACAGGATGGTCACAAGCGCTGCCTCGTGTGTCTGGGCATTGAACACGCTGAGGCAGCGTTTGTGGATGAGTCATGTACCCATTGTGGGAAGATGACCATCGCGGAGCTACGGTCGAGACTCCTGTTCCTGCAAAGGGGCGGAGTCCCCGTGCCTCTGCCTCGTTCCAATCCTCCTCGGAGGGTTGCTTCGGGCGGGGGCACGGGTGACCTGAGGATCACGGTGAGCGCGTCTCCTTCGGGGAACCAACCCCCTAGGAGCCCTCACCCCTCTCATGCTCCGCAGCCAGTTGAGCTTCCATTGGAGAAAGCTGGACCATCCTCGAGGTGTGTACCGGTTGTCTCCTTTGGGGCTCCCAGTGACCAGATGT